TAGGCACTACACAATCCCCTTGATGCTCACTGGAGAGAAAGTTAGACCTGAGACCAGCACGTGGAGCTCTTAAGCCAGCGATGAACAGTTAACAAGGCTTTGTGGCCAGTGACTGCAGGCAAGAGCAGGCACTTGGAGCACCGCATGCAGCGGTGTGGGGTCAGGGAGCACTACTTCTCAGGGTGAGTGTGTTCCAAGAGGCACACATTTGATTTAGATGTTCAATAAAATGAGTTCACTGAAAGAATTCAGCATTTTATTTATCACTTCAATGGCTTTATTTATTTTCAATCTGCATTGCCACATAACCCAGAAGACACCTTCTTTCCTACTGAATAAAACGAGTAGATGGGGATGTTGCAACATATGAGCAAACTCTGATTCTGGGGAGATTAAAGCAAAGAGACCACAATTTAAGGATCAGAACTGGGCAATTCACCAGGACACTGTTGGTGCAAAACCAGCCCACAACTGCAAATATCTGAAAACATTTACCTGAAGTTCGTGTAGTAAACAGACATATCCACTCAGAGCCAGACCAACCTCAGTCAGTACACACGGAGATGGTTTTAGTGGCAAATTCATCCCCCCGAAGTGCAAGCAAAGCTGTTATTTTCAGTGCACTTAGAAATACTCAAGAGATAGTGGACAGACTTAGACTGTTTCTAAGACAAGAAATAAACATTTCTCCAAAACTAATCACGTAGGGGCTGGGGAGATGGCTCAGTAGAATAATCACTTGCCTGGCAAGCGCAAGGGCCTGAGTTCAATCCCCAGTTCCATCAAAAAAGAAAACAAAACAAAAAAAAAAAAACCCAAAAAACAACAACAACAAAAACAGAAACAACCAGAAGTCAATGCAGCTCCCAACAATCCGTCTCACGAAAGCTACAGAGAAGCTTGAATGGCTGTTGCGCAAGCACCTGTGTTTAGCTGATTATCAGTGAAAATAGAAAAAAAATTTTTTTTTTTTATTGGCAGAATTGAAAGTGCAAGAAGGTCCCTATGCCACGTGGACGTAATGAACAGTTTAGAGACAAACTACACTGTCTAGAGTACATCTCATTACAAGACTGACTGGCTTTAAGAGTTTAGCAAACACTC